TTCTACTGCCGTATCTCCTGAATAGCTATTTATGCCATCTTTTTTCTTGCAAAATTTTAGCTACATATATTTCTGCCATTCAATATTATTTAGCTTCAAATTTTGCAAGTTTCAGCACACCAAATGTTGTTGACACATTATTAAAACTTGGGCCAAGTGATAATTTATTATTCGGAACTCGTGTCTTTTTCTTTGTCCTACCAAAAAAAACTAGGAGACCACCCAGTTCCCCGTTCTCCCAGGAATAACTCATGATCATCTTGAGGGATTTCTGGTCCTTGAACCAAAGTTTTCTACTTTTTTATACATACTTTTTCCTCATTTTGATTTTGCATACCACTCAGTCTTTGATTGGGCTAGTAACAGAGTGGATATCAAGAATGATGTGATTTAGGATAGTAAACAAAAAGAAACCCAAGTGAAGGTATAATCACATGTACTATAATATTCTAATGTGCGGTCGTACATGTGGTTGTGTGCAGTGCACATGGATGTAAGGTGTGAAATGACGAGTAAAGATCGACAAGAGGTAAGCACCAGTGGAACTAAATGGTAAGAACCAGTTTTAGCAGGTTGGAAGTTGAAGGCAGGGAATGGGGTAGCAGGATAGCTAACAAGTAGGCTGGAGAGCGTGGTACTGTGGACAAGGTGTCATACAGGGTTCTAAAAAAATAAATGAGAGTCTGTTAGTCAATTTTTCGCGGTCAACCTAGAAGAGTAATCAAGCTACCAACATACATTATTTGTTTTGCCAGGACTAAACGTGTGACTTCTTGGTGGTCGACAACCAAGGAACAGGTAAGAGGCATTTCCCATAATCCCATAATGTATGACAAAATGAAATTTACTGTTTCTGCAGATTCAAATAATTTTCATACACCTAATTACTTATTATAAGACCAACATAGTTTCAAATAGAATATTGCCAGAAATACCACAGCTATGCGCTCCAATTCAGCAGTACTGTCACTATTTTCTTGGTTCTCAATCTTCCAGCAAAATTGCAAGCAAAGTTTCGTAATGCCGTCCAGAATCCGTGACACAGAACCAATGTCCAAGAAAGTTTGTGATATTAATGCAGATAAGTACCTGCAGGCATATAGTCAATAAAATGACAGTTCCATTTGCTCTCTTTCCAGTCGAACAATGGAGAATAGATCCAACACTCGATGCACACAATCATCAGTTGCTTCTCTGAACTCAGATTATTACAGCAAGAGTGATGCTACATGTACCCTTTGGGGTACATGTTGGTTTACCTGGCCCCACCTCTTCCCTCACATGGGGGTCGGGTCCCACGCATTTACTGGATGTGAGACCCGACCCCCATGTGAGGGAGGAGGTGGGGTCAGGTAAACCAAAGTTTACCCCAAAGAGTACAAATAGCATAATTCATTACAGCAATAATGTAGAATTCACAATTTATTGGTGAGCCCATCTTTAAACTAAACCCGGGGATTTCATATATCTTAGCAATTTATGCATCAAAATCAGACTTGAGAGCTTGTGCTAAACTTTTCCATACAACTTTACTGATGCATGCTATTTTCTTTTCGGTAATCCTTATAGTCCAGGTTATTTACCGAATGAAACCCAATCAAATAAAGGAGATTGTGCATTATTGAAGTGATTACACAAGATAAGACGTGTATACAACCTGGTAATCCAAGAGAAGTTTCTTTATATGTGTATATTAGCATTTAGCACTAAACACAGTACATAAATGCACTACATCTCAAAAGTACAAACAAAAATAGCACCTATTTGCTTATGTTTGTAAGCCAGGCCATACGAGTTCATAAATAGTTGATTAGTTTGGTATCCCTATAATCAAGACTACCTCAATGCCAGGAAGGTTTGAATCAGAATCAAAAGTGTAAATTCCAGTAAATAACAATTGTCAAAACTGAAAAATCATAGCAAAAAACACAAGAGATGGTCATATAGCATAAAATCTTCCATGTTACATGTTGAAGATAATATTTAAATGATATACATGTGGCCATATCTAATAGTTTAAGCTTTTAGATCAATAGGTTCAACATGGTATCAAAGCACATAAAAGTCTTGAGTTCAAGTCTCGCCACCACCCATTTAAAGAAAATTGTCCACGTGTTAGGCTTTGATGGGAGAAAATAAATCCACCCTACACCGACGTGAGGGAGTGTTTTGAAGATAATGCGATCAATTTGTTCAACATTACTTACTCTTGATGTTAGTCGACCAACTCTGTAAAATCACAAGAATTTTGGATAATCAAAATTTCAATACACGACTTCTTGTTCAAGAGAGAGATAAGCCCAAGATGTGTAAGAGAATTGGATTTCAGTAGAAAAGAGAGTCGGATGTTGAGGAATTTATACAAGAATTTTAGGTGGAATAGACTTTATGTGAACCATACGGATTTAAATGCCAAAAATTATGCTTCTTGTTTTAGAAATACTTGGAATTTTAGAAATTTTACCCTTATTTTCCAACACAGGAGGGACATTAGATGGAAAAGGTCTTTTGATGGACTAAAGAGGAGGCGGCGTTGATGAGATGAATGCACGATTGTCACCATACTTTTCATGTGGAATAAATATTCAACTCATAATCTCGGGCTAAAAAGTAAACATGATCAAGAGTAGTGACACTCCGAATGAAAAGTTCACTCCTAAGGTCGTCTCCTAATTTTTTTTACAGGAAAGACGATATTGTGCTCCATTAGTTAAATTACGATTTTCTATCAAAATGATTTATAATCCCCAAATCCTAACGACCTAACCCTAAGGGCGTGTTCGGTCATGCTTAAAATCCAATTAAAATTAAAAATATAGTTGTTATTGGGTCACACTCGTCTAATAAAAGTCAACAATAACGACTAATTTTTCAATTTAATTCGATTTAATCACTGCCGAACACGCCCTAAAAATGTATTATGTTGGTCTCAGTTTATTTCTTAAACATATATATATAATCTTTTATAGGGCTTGTTATCCATTTGAACTAAGGATTTTTCGATTGTGCAAGGAAAGAACAAAGTCTTAGGGGTTGTTCTTTTTATGTTTCAATTTTGTGTTTTGAATTTTGAATTCATTTTGAGTTTTATGATTTGAGTGTCCATTTTGAGATTATTGAAAATGTGTTCTTTTTGGTATTTTGAAAAATTATTTTGAAAACACACAAAACGCGTTTTGAAAATTTTGAATTGATTATAACTGAAAACACTCAAAACGATAATTTTTCTTTGTAAAATTTTAACTTGTTTTCGAAAATAGGAAAGAGAACGCGTTTTCACTGTTTTGAAAAATCGAAAACAGAAAATGGTAAAGAGAACATGCCCTTAGCGTTTTCAAATAACGAGCTGCACATTAACTCGAAAAGTTATAGGTTTAAGTGTTGAAAGATCAAATTGGATTGAACCGGGATTAAATTAATTATAATTAATTTATTAACAAAAATATCTTATTATATACAGGTTGAACTGGCTTTTGTTATGGAAAATACCTGTTGAATATCACCATTGACATAATCGTTTACAGATTAATGAGGTGTCAAAAAGAAAGTGGGAAAGTTTTTTTAATTTTTGGTAAAGAAATCTCACCACATTATCCGTGGGTAAATAAATCTGTAATTTATGATGTACATATAGCACTAGCCAGAGCGTCAGGTGGGTTGATTTGGTTATTTCATTATTCGGAACGACCAATTATACTTCAAGTATTTCGTAAATGAAACTATTTGTATTGTTTTAATTATTGGAACCAAATCCAAATTCAAACCCGAACCGTTGGTTCGAGTTCGTTCTACACATTACATGTAATAAATATTTTCATATATGTTCATATCCTGCACGCTAATAAAAAAATAAATTACAATTTGACAAGATTTTTTTTTTTTATAAAATAAATCTTATTATATCCATAAATGAGGCATGTTAGAGCCTATAATTTATTTACGTACAATAGTTAAATTATTCTACTTTTAAAACAAACTGACATAAAATATACTAATTAAATACATAACTATATAGCTTCAAGAAATTGTAGTCCACATATTGAACTCACTCCGTTTGAATAAAAAAACAAAAAATTATATTTAAAAAAAGAACCACGAACTCAAGATAACCAAAAAAGTAAACCATAGTGCAAGCTATAAATATATCAAATTCAATTGTCACACATTATAAAAAAAAAATTTTTAAAATCACTTAAATTTGTAAGCAATGAAAGAAAATATAAAGCTCGAATTGTAAAAAAAATGAACACTTTGATTCATTAATTTACACTACAACCTAACCGAACTTTTTGATTCATAGAAATCTTAAATTGAAAAGACTAAAATGTACAAACTTCTGAAATGCAATAATCTAATGTGAGGTAAAGGACAAAAGGTAGGAGCCAGTTTTTATTTTTAGAGATTAGAGTTCAAAATTTTAGACAAATTATTACCCAGACAAGGATTTTTAGATACCTGACCTATAAATTATAAATAAAAAAATTATATAAAAATTGGTTTCATTCGAATACCCACGATTCTAGTTTAGAAATTAAGAATAGATCGGACCCATCGATTCTCGATTTTCTAATTAATTTTAAATTTTGGAACCCAATCGAAATCTACGTTTTCAATTCGAGAGGTTCAATTTCGATTAAAATGCACAGGCCTTTACAGCACGTCCGTTTTGTTATTAATAGTGATCAAATAGATTTGTGGTAGGCTCTCAATTAAACTGATGAGTCCGATTCAATTATGGCATTTGTTCTAGGAGTTTTTTTTTTTTTTTTACTCCGATAATTTAAGCAAATGATTGGTTGTTTGACTTTCATTGACCACTTGTTTGGTATAATTTTTTTAAAATTCACTTACCACGCTCATTTTTAATCATACATTTTTTCAATAAAATAATTTTGCACGTAAATGAATAATTTTTTTCTACTTAATAAATAATAATGATACATTCTTGAAAAAAAAAAAAGAAAAAAACCCTCTCTTTTTCAATAATTTTATTCGTAAATATGAAACGTGCCCTTAATAACGTTGTGGAAATTGAGCAACATCCTGCGGGAAATAGTACCCTTCTGAGTTCTGAAATAACTTGCATCGCAGGTCATTTTCAATGAGCAATTAGGAGGATTTGAAAACCGGTCCCTCTCTCCCTTACGCACACGTAGTTAGCCTTAACGTTGGTTGGAATAAGAGGAATCTCTCTCGTACAGTCTTGAAATTCAGTATCATACTTTTTCAAATCTTCAGTATGTTTACCTTCTCTCCCGAAAAATTAAAATTTTCAAAATTATCAATTAAGATGGATTACGCCGGTGGGATTAAGGGAGTGTTTGTGCTGGTTTTTCTTATTTGTTTGGATCTTGTGTTTTGTATTTTCTCCTTAATTTTGCAGTGCACTTCACGTGTTTGTTAAATCGTTTAGGTGATTGTTCTACTACTACTACTACTATGATTTTCTTGGAGCATATTGTACATTTTTAACCCTTTCTCAGTGTAATGCATTATACATGATCGGTGAAATCCCCCTTTCCTTACTTCTATCAACATAGATTAAATTGAAAATGTGTGTGGCCTTTGTTTTGCTACTATAGTCCATATGTCTTAATCCATTCTGCCTTGTATTTTCCACAGTTTCTGATTTCTAATCGATAATTTTGTAAAGATTGACATGGCAGAAAGACAGTTTAATGAGCCGCAGCATGACGCACAATTGCAGTCTCCTCCTGCAACAAAGGAGGACATGATCTCTTATGTGGTAGCATTGGAGGCTGCTTTGCTACCGTGCTTACCTGCGAGAGAACTCCAAGCAATCGACCGTTCTCCCCATCCTTCTCACCAGAGTATGTTTCGTTTTTCTGTTATTTTTTTAGTTCTGCTTTTGCAAACTGGCATGAAGAAAGGAGGATTTTCGGATATGGGAAAGGGGAAGTGCGAATCAAAATTGAAAAACAAGAACACAGTAATTTGTTGGACTGTGTAGAGCCTAATTATATTCTCAAGATATCATTTTGACAAGGTGGTCATAGGGAGTGGTAAGCACCTCTGAATGAGGTGTTCAAGGGCTATAAGCTAATGGGAATATTTTATATTAGAGAGATATTGGGTACTTTCTACATGTATTAATCGGCCCAATATTCATGCTATATAAAGGATTTTTAAGGGGTTGTTATGGTGCCCAAGGGGCATGAGGAAAACTTTATCCTCTTCTCCGTTATGGTGAAACCTGCAATAACGGTGGACGTAGCTCTCGCATGTAGAGCGAATCATTATACAATATGTGTTTTTGCTTTGCTTGTTTTCAATTTCATCTGATCACATTGCTATTTTAAGTAGATCATGACTTTACCCGTAACGTAAATTGTGCACAATTAACCTTAAGGGGTGGCTCAATTGATCAGACCTTGGGTTTGCTTCCCAATGGTCATCAGTTCCCAATGGTCATCAGTTCGAGTCTTTTCAGGGCCACTGAGGTGAGTACCCGACCGTAAACTTCAGGGCCCCGTGGAATTAGTCGACGTGCGCGCAAGCTGGTCCGGATATCCACGGTTATAAAAAAAAAAAAAAAAGTAAATTGTGCACAATTAATTCACTTAGACCCTGTTTGAGTCCCATTTCTAGATCATAGATTTTGTAAAATGTGAATTTTTTGGAGGATGTGTATTTAAAAATTAGGGAAAGTTTGGGTTTATTTGCAAAATTATTTTATTGGAAGAATTTGTGGTTGAAAATGAGTTTGGGGGAAAATGAATTTTAAAACATGAGGCTCAATTAGGGGCTTAATGTTTTAGTTATTCTTTGCATTGGTCGAAATATTCGGATCCCATTCTTTCGCCTTAAAACCATTTTCGAGGCAGGTGGCTTATCACTATGTGAACTGGGATTTTGATAATATTATTTCTTTAAAGAAATTTAACTCTAATTTGAGCTTTTTACGTCCCAATTTAGTGGAAGAACCTAAAGTCATACATTGCACGGGTGTTACTTGCAGTTGTTGTGCTGCGCTGATTGACAAACTCGAATAAGGACTTGGATTCTTATTAGTCAACCTGCTGTGAGGTCTAAATTTACAGACTACAGTAACTTCTTTTTAACATTTCCGTTTATGTATCGAATTTAGATTATCTTCTAAGCTCCTCTGGAAGTTATTTTAACTTGTCTGCATCCTCATTCGTTCTTTGATGAAACGTGTAATTTTGTTTGTGGCTGGCTGATTGTCTCATGAAATGGAATTATAGTTCTATACATCTGTTTGTTTGGCCTTTCTTCACCAATTAATGAATGAAACAGAAAAGAAAAAAAAGAAAAGAAAGACATAACATATTTGGTTTGCTTCAGTTGATGTGGAGAGACATGCTAGAGACTTTATGGAGGCAGCCAAAAAGCTTCAGCTTTATTTTATTGGTTTACAACGCGATGATCAGCCCACCAGAGCAGAAACCCTTCACAAGGTAAACTGCAGATAAATCCATGTCGACATGTTGCTTATTACTCTCCTCATATCCTATGATTGATCCGGATTTTAATGTCACATTTTCTGCAGGAGATTGCTATTATGGAAGAAGAGTTAAAATTAAAGACTGAGCTAATTAATAAGCAAGAGAGACTGATCCAAGGATGGAGGGAGGAGTTGAAAGAGCAACTGCACAAACACAAAACCGAGTTGGAAAGAGTGTAACTAGAAAGACGTCTAAATTGTGATTGAACCGTTGATTCCCTTCATAACATAGCGGTGTAATTTCTGCTCTAGTATCTGTCTTTCAACTCAAATGGTAATCGAATATATCTATTTTGAAGTTCAGATAGTCAACTGATTTTGAGGGAAAGAAGGCAATTTATAGCAGTCATTAATACGTTAAATCTCCTTAAGTTTTGACAGTTGAAGTTTCGTGTTTTATAACCTGTATGTATCAAAGAAATTCTGTTATGCCTCTGAAGAGAAGAAAAGAAAACTGTTCAGCCTCAGTGTAATATCTTGTTCTTTCTAATTTTTGGTGCAAATCCATTTAGTCAAGAGCATTCACTAAGACACGCCTGCATTAAGATGTACACACTGCGGCGCAATGCACATTGCACAAGTTGTACTAACCCTTTTATGTAATTCAACAAAGAAAAGCATGCTATATGTAAATATCAAAGACGAAGAGTCATTGTTAAGCATTGTAATAACCAGAGAAAGGAACTTCTACAAGACCTTGATGGATCACACACAGGTACTAAACCAACACAGATACTATTACTGGATAGCTGTCGATGATAATGAGTAAATCTGCAGAGAAAGCATCCTCTATTTCTCTAGAGCAAAAGCAGTACAAAACCATGGTCTACTTCTTTGCATAGGTAATCAACATAGGATTGTCTTGGGTTATCTTAAATCCTTGAAGTCCCTGCATTGCTACAGTTGATTGTATCTCATTTTCGTATTCTACAAAAGCAATTCCTGGTTTTGCTTCCACCATTCTAACTTCCTTGAATCCAGGATATTGACAGAAAAGCATTTGCAGCATCGTTGGGGTCGACTGGTGAGGAAGATTCTGAATAAATAAAATGTTATTTGGTGGAGCCGGAGCCTCCTGGACAGCAGCTTTAGCGCCCATATATGGTATTTGAGACAGCTGCAACATTTGGAGAGAGAAGCCTTACTGTTAAGTTTGCTTAAAAAACAATTATAAATAGAAGTAGAGAATTAAACATACAACACCAACTTCATATAGGACAATAAAAACCGCTAAATGGGAAAACTGGTACAGGAAAGAAGTTTAACATCAATAATGGTAGAATAAAGCAAATATGAGTTGGTTCAAGTTTAGCATTACATAGCTCAATCTTAATTTTGCAAAAACATGTCCTAAATAAAGCTTGACCTTATTCTATACTACCAATATTATTCCAGGAGTCAATCTTAAACAAGCTTTATCAGGATTGAACAGCTTTGATTCATTCTATGGTAACATGATGCTTACGAGCATAGCTCTAGTTAAGATAATTAACTTTTATTAAGAAGCTTAAGAATTTGGGCGCTTTATTCATGAACCATCTTGATAAGAACCCCATAGTAACGAATTTTAACAGACTTGGTGGATTTAAAATTCACAGGCAGATTTTTTGAGACCACTACCCCGTGCAGGAAAAATAACATTTCGCCTTTTTTGTTGCTCACTCATATTATATTTTTCTTCAGGATTCTAGCATTCTAGCATCACGAGATTCTTGTAACCTGTTCACGGGGAAAAATGGTTATAGAGGTCCTGGGGCCCATAGACGTCTAACCTCTAAATGCAACAAAACTTCTGCTCACAAAGAAGGAAATATATGAGGGATAAATTAGCCTTTTTTATGAATTTCTACAGTAGAAATACACGACAGTTACAGAAATTCACAAATATCGCTTCAGCTCATATATGTACTTTTACACTTTCTCATTTTTCCATTTCATATATCACTATGTGTTCCCTGGTTCTACAAACTAACATCATATGACATGCCACCTAAAATCAAGCACCTTTTTAAAACCTGCCAAAACTACACTGGGAATAGCTGATGGCCTAACTGAATTATGTTATTGTAATAATGGGAACTTTCAATTTCAACAAAGTTCATTTCGATATTCATAAAAATTCAGGGATGTTATCCTTGAGCTATGCTTACAGGAGGAGCTGCACCATAGGCACCAGCATAGGCAGCATTCGAAGCATCATGTTGCTCCTTCTTCTTTCTACCTGTAGCACAAGAGAGAGATGTAGTTAAAAAAGGAGAGATTATCAATGTAAACATAATTCATGAACCAGATGCAGAATAGCATCTCAAGTTGTCCGCATTTCTTTTCTCAAATATAACAAAATGCTACTTTTATGTCCTTGTTCCAGAAATTGAGTTTTGGGAACATTAACAATGGTATGCCATGATAAAGTTTTAGAACCTGAAGTTTTCTACTATGTCTGTAGTATTATTAACAATATTTCTGTAAATGTATGCGCAATTAGTAACATGAGGATCCCCAAAATCTTGTATGTTGGAAAGACATCAGCGTTTGTATACATGTAATGACAGGATAACTCCAAGAACCATATGCATGTCATACACACCTAAAAAGTCCAGCTTATACGTATACGGTATACACATTTGAAAGTGATACACACACACGTAGGTTACAACTTACAACAGTGCAGACCAGCGTTGACAAATTGAAGCAAAATTTGAGAGATTGCTCCAATTAATTCATAGATCGACACATCTCTTCATGCAAAGGATTTGAACCAGTACTACAAATGACATGATTTCCCATTCCATTTATTGGTTTTGACTTGTTAGCACAGTAGTATTCTGTTATCAAATCGCTTTATCACTCTAGTTGGTACAAACACCTTACTATAGATGGAATCAAGAACTGCTATCTCATTTTAAGGTTGTATTGTCAAACCACCAACCTGCCTATATTTGCTCTCTGTAGATTATACTCATGTAAAACCTTCAGAATAATATGAAATGCTTCCCCACTCCCAAATTGCATGTCACTCCCCCAGCAAGAAGGTGAAAATTAAAGAGTCAAGTAAACCAGCCCAGTTTTCACATCTCAACCAAAGAATAACTTTCAACGCAACACAAATGTAGAGAAACTAATTATATGAAAGAATTAAATCAAGTGTTCCACTAGGTAGTATCCATGATATTTCTTCAGCACATCCATATTTCTAGATACAGTTTCCTGTAGCAAATTATTTCTTTCCACCATCCATTATGCACAATAAAATAAAATAAAATAAAATAAAAGAAAGAAATACAAAAACCGACATGCACAACTCCCCAGAGGCCAATCTAAGAGGCACTTTTAATTAATCTAGTTTTCACATCACCGTGCAATTACATCCTCCAAGCTGATACACGTGGACAAAAACAAGTATATAAAAGACAACAGATCTTAAAGCGCATTTGAAAATCAATTGGCATTGTCTCAGCGGATCCACATCTTCTGTAGCATTTATGATAGCAAATAACATGTGTTATTTTCATTGAAGAATAGTTACATAGTTTCTGTATTGATTGGAGACATGTAATGATAAGTGTAGTTTATTCACTTATTCGGTCCTGAATGATGATATTTTATTATTCTTTGGACGGATTAGTACCTAATTTGTTATTTATTGCTTTTATAAGGAAAAACTCATGTTTGGACAAAGAATTGGAAGAAAAAAAAGGAAAAGGGCTAAAATGAAGCAAATTCAAAGTTTGGGGGGGACTAAAGTGCAAATAGATAAAAGTTGTATCGGACCTCATAATGAAGATACGAGAGTGTTAGGGATCAATTGGATAAGGAAAAAAGTCAAATGAATGAAATATTATCAAATATCAATTTTTAGCTGAAAAAATTATGTTTCAGATTTTCAGTCATAGATTGCAACCCATTTTTGGCATAGCAAACATTCGAATTGAAAAAATGTTATTTCTAAAAGAATTGTAGCCCTTTGAATTAGCTTTCCAAAGCATTTTGAATCAACTCGATCGGATATCAGGAGAAAAAATTATAATAAAAATACTGAAAACTGCATCGCCTGCAGCTCAGGTGCGCGCCTCAACCAAAAAAGGGGCACCAAACAGGCTAGGCACATGTCCTAGATATGCCTAGGGGCGTGCCTTATTGTAAAAATGGGGAAATTCCGATTTTCCTTATGTTTGTTTTGGTAACAATTTAATGCAATTTTTTGGGTATCCTTTAAATATCAAAACTCGATTAGAATGTAAGAGGACCTCCCTAAACTTAAAAATTTATTGATTCAACATATTTTGGAGACGAAAAACGAGGCTATATCATCACCATCAAGGGAATTGTGCAAGATTCTTGAAGATTATCCATCCAAAATTTTTCAATCTTCTCTTGATCCGGGTAATATTTTTCGATAAATTCTTGTATGATTTAATTATTAGAATGATTAGCTAAGTTCTTCTATTGTATTGGATGATTGAGGAACCTTATTTTTGTTTATTTCAATTTAAGACTTTAATTTAGGTATTTCCTGTTATTTCTTGATTGATTTTACATTCTCATTGCATTATTTAATTGTTTGTCCATCAATTGAATAGTTAGTTACTTGTGGTGTAGAATACTCACAATAAGTTTAGAACGTGATAAAATCAACACATGGGCAATAGGTATTATGAATAATATCTATGGAATGTGCAATCATGTAGATAACCTAAACTAAATGCATAATTTTCATATGAATTCAGACTAGAAATAGAATCGGGTAGTGTTAATCATAGGTTGGTATATCTTGGAAAAGAGAATTTAATATATTAGTATTATCAGTTGTCAAAAATACATGAAATTAACTAAATTATTAATTTATAATTGAAATAGATGAAAATAGGGGGAATCGTGAATCCAATATAAGCATTCACATTCGATAATACTAACTACTAAACTATATTTTAAACCTTATTTCTCATGGGAACGATAAACTTGAAACTCACTATTTCTATTACTTGTACAACAATTCCGTACGCTTGCAGATTTCAACATAACATGTTCCAAAGAAAGATGCTTTACCTCTGTCATCATGCTTCTTTCTTTTTTCTCGAGGTACAAAAGTACCATCCGCCTTTGCGATGATATCAGATTTTGTCTTTGCATATTGTATCCGCTGTGATAAACGCAAAAAAAAACCATATATTTTTAAATTAGAAAAAGAGAGGCCCCACATGCGTACAATAGTGTCATTAAAGACAGGAAACAGAAAGATGCAGTTTACACAAGACAAACCATCTAAATCTGTGCCCACCAGATTTTACCTTCAATATGCACTACCAATCCCAAATCAGAAATATGTTCATCTCTTATTTATCTACTTTTGCTTTAATATTATGCAACTGCCGTCTAAACCAAAAAAAAAAAATTATAATGCACCTCAAGAAAGATTCTCTGTCTTTTCCACGTGCTTAGGGATGGTGCAATATGATCTTGCACCAATTTTTATGCAAATTACTAACTGTAATACAGAATACATAATGCATCACAGATCATTGCTGCAAAAGGTTTAAATGAACCTTTGTGTAAGCAAGACGTGTTATAAAATCACGCAAATAAAAATTTAGCAGAGTGATAAATTTCATGCCTAATTATTCCACCTCTACATTTCAAATAATGTAAGCTTCTTTTTGCTGTTCTGGTGGGGAGGGAGTTTCCCTTATCAGTGCATTGTCTTGTAATGACTAATGAGAATTCAACAATCGCATTGTGACATCAAGTTTGTAGATAACATGTAAAATTATCCACCACATAATGGTATTCTGGTACAAACCACAGTTAAATCAGGAAAACCATAGTATTCAGTTGGCAACAAGAACATAACCATTGGACTCGAACCGGAAAGAAAATTAGCATAATCTACCAAACTAACGTTCAGGTCAGCTACTATAAACATTCTACCATTGGCTTGTCGTAGAACGGGAATCCCTGCATCTGTCGAAGTGCATTAGTCGCAGAAGAAACCTCCTCGAAAATCACCCAAGCTTGCCCCTTGTGTTTTAGGGTTTTGAATGCTAAAACCTCCAGAATTTTCCCAAATTGCGAAAACACCGCGTGAAGCGATTTCTTCAGTTCTGAATAGAAAAAATTATCTATAAAATATAATACATTCACAAATACTCACAAAAAGATATTCCATTGAATCTATTTGCATGTAAAATTGAAAGTCTACACAGAAGTATGCATAATACCGTCAAGCTTGATTTTTTCATTGAGGTTATTAATGTAAATAGTCATGTTGGGAGGAACATCGCCTCCGGTGGGGGTGATCTCCGCCATGGCCACTGTTTTTCGTCTCCTTTTCCGGTGAACCGAACAGATGGTTCGAACTTCGAACCGAGAAATCGAGTGGCAAAATTTACGGGTGGATGGGTTTAGACATTGGGAGTTTCGGGGCTTAAATCGGGCCACTTTAAATGGGCTTCGACAAAGTTTGATATTGGAAAATTCAGAACTTTTGACACAAATAGCACATAACTAATATCTTTACAAACAAAGGGGGTAGAGATGCAAAAACCCGATACCCACGGGTCCCGTCCAAAACGGGGCCGAGATAACCCGTTTAATTGAGTATTTGGGTCGGGGACGGGTAACAGGTGCCCCACCCCGTTTAATTATTATTATTTTTTTTTAGAATTCAATACTTTAAAAGCCTTAATTTACCAAATATATTTAAATAATTTTAAAAATATGTCAAACAAATAAAAGTCTTTAATTTACCAAATATATTTGAATAATTTAACTTTTAAAAATAAGTAAGGATTAAAAAATATATTATTGTCTCAATCTAATGAATGAGTGCAATAAAATGAATTATCAAAAACTTAAAAAAAAACTAAAAAGGGTAGTAAATTGGGTAAGGGCCTTACCCATCCCACCATCCCGCCTTAAAAGGGTAACGTGGGCGTGGGCGGGGACGGGACGGGGAATTGCTTGGCGAGGCGGGGGGCGGGAGAGGTTGCCCTGACCTCGTACTCTAACCTCAATAGATATTTAAATAGAACTAATTCTGATTCAAAAGAAACTTTACATACTTGATCATTGAATTACAACCAAATACAAAATTAAAGATTAATAGAAGTTCATAATAAAAAAATANATGATCGGTTTGATCAAAATTTAACCCAACCCAACACATGTAAAGGTTGAAACCCACCCAGTCCAACCTAATCAAGTATTTGTCAGGTTGGGTTGGCCGGTTTGTAACAACTTGTCAACAAAAATTTCACCATGTTTGGCACCCATTTTATTCTCATTCTCATTTTTTCTCTTTTTTTCATTTCAACCACACATTCTCCAAATAAAATAATATTATACACAAATTTAAAATTTTTCTTCACTTTTTCACTACACATTCTCCAATCAATTACTATTCCAAAATTTTTCATTCTCATAAAATGGGTGTCAGATATAGTTTTAAAGTTATCCAATTATCTATTATACTAAATTCGAATAGACAAGATTAAATAATAAGTAAATAAATAAAATTATCTATTATCTTATTCAATTCTCATTAGTCAAGCCTACAAAGAACAACGTGCATTTAACATAACATGAAAAAGTTATACTACGTTTCTTGTGGGAAGGAGAGTAAACTCCTCCTCTAAAATGCACCAAGCTAATTAGAGTTACACTATCCACTCATACTTTTTAGATTTCTTTTACCTTTTAGGCATTTTATTTTATTTTATTTTATTTTTTGAAGTAGGTGAGTCGGGTTGGGCAGGTTTATTCGGTTTCATGAGTTAACTCATAACTAACCCTACCAGACCCACCAACGCAGCCAACCCACCCAACCCGTATAAAAACAACAAAAAAACCAATCCAAACCGATCGAGTTGGGCGATTTTGGTGGGTTCGATCGGGATTTGCCCACCCCTAGTAGCTAACCTAGGAGTTTTGTTGTTGAATTTCATATCTAAGAATTTAACTATAATCCATTTCAAAACTAAGAAACAATGTTTAAAACTTAAAAAATCAAATATATTAAGAGCCTGTCTAGAGGAAATTTTGGTCTCATTTTTAGATGATTTTGGATCATTGCACTGTGAATATCACGTCCATTTCAACAATTCTGACCCAGATGAAACTCAAGGTTGAAAAGAGATAATCTTTTCATTTTCCATTATTCCATTTTTATCCCCATCACTGAACAACCACCCAATGAATGCATTTTTCACTTACTCTTTCCTCCTCCCATTCTTTCAGGCGTCCAATACGTTCTTTAATTCAAAATGATATTGAAAACATGAAAGGCAAATACAAATGAGGGAATACTTTAGTCTGAACACTCCACGCAAATCGAAGTGATTTTTCCTCCCAAATTGGAGAAACCCCGAAACAGGTCTCATTTCTTCCTGCATCTCTCTGCTAAAGTATCTCAGCTCCAATCGATCGCTTTGTTTTGTTATCGCATTTAACCCGAAATTGGAGACAGTTGAGAACTTCTTCTCAAGTCCGAAGTCCTCCGGCGATAATCGCATCTATAGGTTATATAGATTCCACCTCTAAGCACTTTCCCATTTTTCTTACATAAATCACGCGAATGCTGCGGAAAGGCAAATACCATTCGCATTCAATTCATTCTGAATCGGCAAGATCCATTTCTGTTCTGCCTTCTTCCTTAGTCTCCTCTAGCAAGAGAACGACATTCATAGAGCTTTTCCTGTGTAGGTCATTCTCTATCATGAGATTTCCGAATGCGCCATAGATATTACGGAGGTTCAGTGAAGAAAGGAAGGCAGCCTCTCTTTCAGCTCGATAAGAATGGCGTCAGAAGGAAGGGCACATGCATCCTAGGTAATTCAGTCTTAAGGTTCTTTATTATTTGCATAGGGACTTTTTTTCGTTGGTGCTCATTTTGTATGGGCTTTTAGTTTGCCAAACCCCAATCCTAACAAGTTTTCGAGTTCAGCTTTCGGTGCTACCTAATTTAGGGCTTATGTAATGTTAAATAACAAAATATAATGTAGAAGAAGATGGAGAATAGGAGAAGAGAAAGAGAGCAAGAGACTATTGAATGTCTACATCTTTATTTCTTAATTTGATACTGAATACAATGCATAATCCCTATTTATATGGAAATTACATGGAGATAAATATCATAAATATTATGAGAATCAAATCAAATCAAAGTGATTTGAGATTATGAAAATCAATTTAAGATAATATCAAATCAAGATAATAATGATTTGATATTATCTTCAATACTCCCCCTCAAACTCAATGTGGAGAACTTCGGAAGCTTGAGTTTGAAATTTGTTAGTTGCCTTCATTTTTAGAGATAACAAACTACTGCATTATAACAAACTGTCTGAGAGAGAGGGTGTTCAATAGAAATAAGGAGTTTTAATTGGAATTGGATTTGGATTTGGCATTATTTCAAATGCTGATGCCACAGATTGCAGTGGAAGAACACTCAAAGACAAAGTTGAAGAAGGTAAAGAAGTAGTGCTTAAACTAGTAGAACCAGTGCTATTAAGAACCAAGGGAGAAGGATATTCCGGCAAATTAGAACCCGGAAAGTTCGATCCTCCTGTTGGTAAAGATGCATTGAAACCAATATATGGCATCTGTTATGGGGAAGAATTAGAGGATATAAGAGATATAGAGAGGAAAGTTTGGAAGAGGAAGCCATAGGAGGCAACAAAGATATGTCAGAAACGAGTTTTGGTAGAAGTGGTCGGTGGCGCCACTATCAGCCACCCAATTATGGCGGCTGTCAAAGAGAGTTCATAAGGAGAAAGCATTATCTACGAAGTTGGGACTCTGATTTGCAGTGAACTGAGGAATGAGAAGGTGATGAAACCCAATGTAAACTTTGGGCAGGCTGCTCTGGCTAAGAAAGGGGAGGACTCATTTTTCATTAAATCTGATCGCCAAAGGGTTCTTGGCAATCCGTCAACATCATTTTGAGTAGTAGCCATGGTGAAGGAAGCAGGAAATTCTGCTACTGGAAGAAGTTGGAAGAATTAATTGTGCTAGAATCAGAAACTGGAAGATGTTCTTTGCTGGAATAGGAAACTGGAACTGCTGGAAAAATATTCTGCTTCCAAAAAAAAAAAAGGATGCTGGTTATGCAAGTTGCTGAAAAAAATTCTGCTTCTGAACAAGAAATTGCTAGTAGGAATTTTGTTGGACGGGTGCTGACGGAAGTTTTGATCTTACCGCTCTGATACCATGTTAAATAACAAAATATAATGTAGAAGAAGATGGAGAACATGAGAAGAGAAAGAGAGCAAAAGACTATTGAATGTCTACATCTTTATTTCTTGATTTGATACTGAATACAATGCATAATCCCTATTTATATGGAAATTACATGGAGATAAATATCTTAAATATTATGAGAATCAATTCAAATCAGAGTGATTTGAGATTATGAAAATCAATTTAAGATAATATCAAATCAAGACAATATTGATTTGATATTATCTTCAATATTCTGGTCTTCATTTTCGAAATGGGAGTTTAACTGCGTGCCGTGCTCTAGTCAATATCATGTCCTACCTCTCCCTGGGCCATCTCCTTGGTCAAAGCCTCGTTTGGGCAGATTCTATGTTGATCGCAACATAATTGATCAATAGCATATAGTAGGAGCCTCACCCTCTTAACATAATATATCAAGAAGGCTACAACCAATATTGGATCTCGCTATCTGGTTAGGACACGCAACGTATTCTATTTTCGAAATAGCGGATTCTATAACATCATATAGTGGTTCCTTCTGCTCCTAGAAAACACCCAAACCCTATTGCTACTAAAGTACCGAGAAGGATCAACAAAATTTGAAATCGAGGGTGAGGGGAAGAGGGGACATCATTTGGCTCGATCGTCCAATTCACTCCAAGAGAAGCAAGGCTCTTAGTCAAAGCAGCCCAAGACCAAGTATTATCAATTCCCATCGAGAAAGCAAGCAATAAAGGAGTAGCTAATCCAAGTTTGCCTTTTCGAGGGTTGAGGTTTCTATTTCGTGTTAAGAAAGGTCAAGGCTTATTTGTCCAGGTGTGGGCCACGTGGCTAGGTGGTCTTTTAATGGGCTAATATAGGGCTTAGAGAATTAAACTACTAGTGAATTTACATTCTATTCATTCTATAAGGCGAGTCCCTTCGTTCTTCTTCCTAGAGGGAAGCAAAGGATGTCGATGTGAGGGAGTGTTGTCTCCTTTGACTGTCATGCAGTATTCTACTGTGTATTGTAATTTCTATACGATCTTATCTTCATCTACTTTTCCTTTCCCTCCCTCTTTCAGGAGGAATAAAAATGTAAACTAGAGAAACTTGTCTTAATTCAACTAAGGCAGCGCTAAAGGTCGATCACCCAAGCAAT